CACAGCAACCTCCAACTCCTGGGCTCAAGCGAGTCTCCTGCCTCAGCCTCCCAAGTAGCTGGGACCACAGGCGCCCACCACAACGCCCAGCTATTTTTGGTTGCAGCCGTCATTGTTGTTTGACAGGCCCGGGCTGGATTCAAACCGGCCACCTTAGGTGTATGTGGCTGGCGCCTTAGCCCCTTGAGCCACAGGGGCCGAGCCTCCTTTTTATATCTTAATCCCCTTTTTACATCTTACGCATACATATAATTTATTATGTTTATTGCTTGTCTCTGCCCACTAGATTATGAGCTGTATAAGGATGGGGGGTTCTGTTTTGTTTGTGGATATATTTTGAGCTCCAAGAATATAGTGTGTTCAATATTGTTGGAACTAATGACTCTGTAGTACTTATGTGTTGAGGACTTATTCTATGCCAGGTTCTTGTCAGGGCACTGGGATCCAAAGATGAATGAGAATGGTCCCTACCTTCTGTCCCAGGGTCTGTTTCTTCTGAGGAAGGACACCATCTGCCTGTTTGGCTGTGTCCTACTCCCTCGGCCCAAGAGCTCGGACCCTTTCTGCCTATTCTTGCCATGTAATCAGACCCATCTGCCCGTGGTTCCAGGGTCGCCTCTTACATACCACTTCATGATGTTGCCACCCCGTTGCTTCTGCCCTTCACTGAGGTAGCACTGGACCTGTGTCCTCTTGCTTAGCAACCTCCTTGAGCCTCAAAGTGGACTTTTCATTTTTTCTGCCTTTCTGACCTGGGTTTGAATTCTGTCATTACTTCCTTTTTTTTTTTGAGGCAGAGTCTCACTATTTTGCCCTCAGTAGAGTGCCATGGCGTTACTGCTCATAGCAACCTCAAACTCTTGGGCTTAAGCGATTCTCTTGCCTCAGCCTCCCAAGTAGCTGGGACTACAGGCACCCGCCACAACACCTGGCTATTTTTTTGTTTGTTTGTTTAGCAGGCTCCGGCCAGGTTTGAACCCACCAGCACATATGGCCGGCAGCCTGACTGCTGAGCTATGGGCACCGAGCCCTGTCATTACTTCTTTTTTATTTTTGTAGAGACAGAGTCTCACTTTATCACCCTCAGTAGAGTGCCATGGCATCACCCAGCTCACAGCAACCTCCAACTCCTGGGCTTAGCCAGGGGTCCTCAAACTTTTTAAACAGGGGGCCAGTTCACTGTCCCTCAGAGCGTTGGAGGGCCGGACTGTGGGCCCCGGGACAGGTTGGCTGCTAAGCAGGACAGGCAGCGGCGGCAAAAACACCCGGTGGGCTGGATAAATGTCCTCAGCGGGCTGCATGTAGCCCATGGGCCATAGTTTGAGAACGCCTGGGAGATTCTCTTGCCTCAGCCTCCCGAGTAGCTAGGACTATAGGCGCCCGCCACAACGCCTGTCATTACTTCTTATGAGCTAGAGCTATAATGACCGTGGGCAAATCAGGTAGATTCCTTGAGCCTCAGTTTCCTCCACTATAAAATAAGGCTAGTGATGGTACTTAGCTGATAGGGATATTGTGATAATTAAATAAAACCATGCATGTAAAGCATCTAGCATAATCCCTAGAATTCTCCTTCAATAAATGTTACCCTCTATTATTGTTATTATTGTTGAGTTGTTATGGATTAACTAAGTCATTTATAAAGCACATATATAAAAACACTGGATAGGCTCAGCATCTGTAGCTCAACAGCTAGAGTGTCAGCCGCATACACTGGAGCTGGTGGGTTCGAATCTGGCCCAGGCCTGCCAAACAACAATGACAACTACAACCAAAAAATAGCCAGGTGTTGTGGCAGGTCCCTGTAGTCCCAGCTACTTGGGAGGCTGAGGCAAGAGAATTGCTTAAGCCCAAGAGTTTGAGGTTTCTGTGAGCTGTAATGCTATAGCCCTCCTCTACCGAGGGCGACATAGTGAGATTTTGTCTCAAAAAAAAAAAACTGACCCTGGATAAAGTAATAGTTATCATTACTACCACCACCATCAAAACTACCATAACCAGCCCTTTTGGTATTCCAGGTACTCCTCTCTCTGGGGCAGTAGTTCTCAACCTTCCTAATGTCACAGCCCTTTTATACAGTTCCTGTGGGTCGTGACCCACAGATTGAGAACCGCTGCTCTAGGATGAGCCATTAAATCCCTAATAGCTGTTCTTTCACCTAACCTTAGAATAATTTGTCTAATTTTCCTTTTATTTTTCCCATTCAGACCTGGAAGAGGACTATGATCAATGGAACAATCTCATTGAAGGCATTGGACCGTCACTCACCCCAGGGGCCCCACACCATCTGTCCAGCCTGTAGGCACAACTGGCCATTTATGAAAGGTCACTTGAGCTGAGCCTCCATCTGGGGGCAGCCCTGGGGCATCTGAAACCTCCTGTTAGGAAGTGCCAACCTGACACTTTTTCATGGATTAAGAGGATATAATCACACTGTTGATTGGGTGACTGGCTACTTCAATCTTAGACTTGTTGATCTTCAAGTCACGTTGGAACTGGGATCACTTACTGATTGGCAAACTGACTTTCTGGGCCTTGAGCCCCACTAGTGTGGGGAACAAGCCGTGGGATGGGACTGGGGGAGACGCAGGCCCGAGTCGGGCACTGTGAAGCCTGCATGTGGAGTGAGCTGACTCCCTCATTCACGCCAGTTTAGTGGACGAGATGGAATCAAGGGATAGAGGGAAAATCCCTACCTTCAGAGAGACTCTAGCCCAGCCCAGCACATCTCTTCCTACCTCTCAACCTTCTGCCTCCGCAGGGCCACACAGTGACCTGTGAGCACTTTAGGTGTCTCTCTAGGATACAAACTATCATTGGATTTCCTATTTATTTTCAAATCTTCCCATTGCAGGAAACATAGTACTACTTAGTCCTTAGACCTGTAGGCCCACAGTGGGTAGATGGCGTGACTGTTAGCACAGAGAGAGTAGCTGAAGTGCCAAGGGGTCCCTCAGAAGCTCTGGATATCTTTGGGGCTTCACTAAAAATGTATCTTGACAGGAAGCAACACAAGTAGGTTAAGGTGGGGAAGATAATTTAACAGTGTCAAATAGCCATTGATACACGTCCTTGCCACAAGAGGGAGGTAGTTTGGTCTATTAAAACTCAGGAGGATACCCTCAGAGAGGTCTAGGAACATGTTGATCTGGACTCCTACCTCAGATAGCAGGAACCTCCAACTTGCTCTCGTTGTTTTCTGACTCTGAGGCTCTTCCCCTGAATTTAAGTCAGGATACAGACTGGAATTCCATATCGTTGCATTTATAATATGAATTATGTTAATACTCATGTTTGCCTAATGTTACGCTGGAATATTCTGTCTATTTAATCTGCATTAGAACAAGATGGGGAGCCATCTGGAAGTGACTTTTCCTTCTGTCTTTTCCATGTTCACTTACCACTTGGGCCCACATGGAAAAAAACTTGGGAAGGAAGTCTTCCTAGAAATATAGTTCAAAGCTCTTTAGGAACGTCATCCTGAAACTCCATTCCTCACTGCTCAAGACTTCTCACCTCAGTCCAAGTAGGACCCCAGAGAAGGCAAGAACAAATGGGAAATGAATCTGTATACATAGGTCCAAGATCAGGGCCACCAAAGCAAGCTGGGACTAGATCTCCACTTTTTTTTTTTTTTTTTTTTTGGATCTCCACTTTTTAACAGCTGGTCGTTCTAAGAGGTGAAACACCAGAGCCAATCGAGGCTGTGGACCTTGAGCAGATCTATGAATTCCCATGAGATGTGGCATAAGAAAGATTCCTGTATCGTTAAAGCCTGGAGCCCTAGAGTTATATAGCCTGGTTTTGAGTCCTGGCTCCGGCACTGCCAACTGGGTAAACTTGAGCAAATTGTATTCTCTTTTTAATCTCAGTTCCTGCATTTCTAAAATGAGAGTCTGCCTTATGAATAGTTACGAGGATTAAATGAGAGGATATATAACCCATGGGTTTTTTAAGAGTCTGTTTCCTACTTTTCAAACATGAGGCTTTTCTAGTTATCTTATAGTTATTATCTTCTAGTTTAATTGCATTGTAGTCAGGGAAAATGGCCCATATGGTTTCTGTCCTTTGAGATTTATTCAAATTTGCTTGTTGGTCTAGTGTGAGGTCAGTGTTGTGAATGTACCGTGTATGCTTAAAAATGCTATATATCCCAAAGTCATTGTCTTGCTCTTTTACTCAGGAATACATCGTGGATTTCCTCCTATGAAAACATATGCAGATATATAATGCGGCTTCCAACTCCCACATGGGGACCAGAGTCCCCAGCTCTTACAGAACCAGCCCTAGGCCAACCCTCAATGTGTACCACCCTTGTGCTGTTTCTTGAAATGCTGAGGAGCTAGTCCCGGCCACAGTTGTATGTGAAACCCAGCTTCTACCTTATTCCCATATATGATGCAGGTATTTTTAACTTATTTGAGACAAGGGCTGGCTTTGTCACCCAGGCTAGAATACAGAGGCATGATCATATCTCATTGCAACCTTAAACAAGTGTTCCTTTGGCCTCAGCCTCCCAAGTAGCTGGAACAACAGGCGTGTGCCACCCTGCCTGTTACTTTATCTTATTTTGTGTAGCGATGGGGTCTCACTATGTTGCCCAGGCTTATCCTGAACCCCTGGCCCCAAGTGATCCTCCTGCCTCAACATCCCAAGGTGCTGGGATCACAAATATGAGCCACCGTACCCAGCCAATGTAGCTATATTTTATAAAGTCCTGAACAGGAGATCTGGAGCCTCCTTACAGAAGACAGTGGTTCAGAAGCTGGATCCTTCTGCTCCATTGAGTCCATGTGCGGTATTCGTGCATTTGCTCAGCAACATTGGAGCAGGTGAATTTTCCATATAATTGAAAATTATCTTGCAAGCCACAAAATATAGTATTAGTATTTTAGATTGTAATTACCAAAAAGATACACATAATTTTTAATCAACATGAACTGACCTCATTTAATATCTCAGAAAGTTTCAGGCAGAATAGACTAGATTATATGGTGATAATAACCCCCAAAACCAACAAAAATGTATTTCTTTTCTTTTTTTTTGAGACAGAGTCTCAGTATGTCGCCCTCTGTAGAGTACTGTGACGTCACAGCTCACAGCAACTTCAAACTCTTGGGCTTAAGTGATTCTCTTGCCTCAGCCTCCCAAGTAGCCTGGGACTACAGGCATCTGCCACAATGCCCAGCTATTTTTGTTGTTGTTGCAGTTGTCATTGTTTAGCAGGCCCAGGCTGGGTTCAAACCCTCCAGCCTCAGTGTATGTGGCCGGCGCCCTAGCCACTGAGTTACGGGCACAGAGCCCCAAAATGTATTTCTTGCCCATGCTATTTGTCTTTTGTGGGTCAGCTATTGGCTCTGCTCTGTGTCATTTTGACCCTAACCCTGGGACCCAGGCTGGTGGAGCTGTCACTCCCTCGAGGTGTTGCTGGTCACCATGGTGGAGCTGGAAGTAAGTGTGAGGAAGCACCCACTAGCTCTGAAAGCTCCTGCCCAGAACTGACATTCATTATTTCGGTTCACATCTCATAAGCCAAAGCATGTCATCTAGCCATTCCTAATATCCCATGTCATCCCAAGAGAGCTGAAATATTTGTGCCCAGGTCTCATGTCAAAGAAATAGTGCCCTCTGGTCTGTGAAACTCTGGGTGGCTATTTGTCCCTACACTGCGGGGCCCCCAGCCACTACCCTTTCAGTTCTTTTGATTGCTGTTTAGTTTGTGCTGTCTTCCTTGCGGCCAGGCTGCCAGCCATCACTCTTCACTGCCCTAATGTGCCAGCCCCTAAGCTGCCTTGGGCACTTCAAGTAGTGACTTCTGGTATAAAATGCACAGGGAAATCAACTACCTTATATAAAACTGTTCTACAGGAAGACTAGGTAGGCATTGAGACGGGGCTTTAAGGACTCTCCTGCAGCTAACGTGCTTCACCTCTAGTGCATGGGCTGCGTAATCCTCCCTCTGACTCCTAGAAGGGATATCCCCCAGGCCTTTGGTCCCTCATTCTGGTTTGTGGTTGGTTTCCAGGGAATCAAAGGACACGAGCTAGATGCCGTCTAGATAAGCAAGGTGATCCGGCTACAAACCGGCATGTGCTGATAAACTGTATTCTACAGGATCTTTCCCCAAAAGAAGATGTCTTGGGTTTCTTTTGCATCTTCTCACTCCCCATCCCATGATAGGACTCTGTACCCACAGAGGCCTCTTAGTAGTATACTGTGAAGTTTCTGCACATGGGATGGTCTGTCAGGAAAGAAGGTAAGTATAATAAATAATCCTCCCGGGCAGTGCCTGTGGCTCAAGGAGTAGGGCGCTGGCCCCATATACCGGAGGTGGCGGGTTCAAACCTGGCCCTGGCCAAAAACTGCAAAATAAATAAATAAATAATCTTCCCATGTCCTGGACTGGTCAGGCTAAGGTTGGTTGGCTTCTTGCTGTGTCCCCAACGTAGTCCCCGAGCCCTTTTCTACTGTGAGTCCTGACACAGCTGCCCCTCTTGGCTGTCCTCTGAAAGCTGGGCTCTTGAAATGTCAAATGATGGAAACCAACTCCATGTCTCAACCTTATGATGACCTCCCTCTGTCTCCTTTTTCTTCTGGAGCATCACATATTCTTCTGCCCACAAAGTGACAGCAGAACCACAAAGACCATTCTTTATACTTAGGTGTCATCCTCATTAGGAATCTCACTTTCCTTTTTATTTGAGACAGAGTCTCACTATGTCGCCCTCGGTAGAGTGCCATGGTGTCATAGCTCACAGCAACCTCAACCTCCTAGGCTTAAGCAATTCTCTTGCCTCAGTCTCCCAAGTAGCTGGAACTATAGGCGCCCACCACAATGCCTGGCTATTTTTTGTTGCAGTTGTCGTCGTTTAGCTGGCCTGGGCCAGGTTCGAACCTGCCACCCTCGGTGCATGTGGCTGGCCCTGTAACCACTGTGCCATAGGTGTTGAGCCAGGAAGCTCACTTTCTGTCCCACCATAGCCAGGTGCCAAGGCCAGGCGTTTTTGGCATAACTGCATGGCACAACGATGACTATGGGGATAACTGTAATAACCAGTGCTTATTGACCCTTACCATGTGTCAGGGACTGGGCTCTGGGCTGCTCACAGTAACGCCAGAGGTCAAGTGCATGAATCTCATTTACATATGAGGAAACAGGCTTAGAAAAGTGATTTCATCAGGTTTTCTCAGCAAGAATTTGGCAAAGTTACTTAGGTGTCAAAACCTGAGCTCCTAATCACCATCCCATAGTTTCTAATATACATGCAGGAGAACCTTCATAGCTGACCACCTCCCTACACTGACCACCTGCTCAAATTGACCTAATTTTTATAGACCAGACATGCGCCACAAGTATGTATCAGCACAGGAGGGCTAGTTCTTTATGCTGACCACCTCTGTATGTTGACCAGTTACTTATAGTCCCTTGCTTGGGTGGTCAACCTACAGAGGTTCTACTATACTTGGTTTTGTTCTTTCCCCCCATTTCTCCAAACTACCAAGGTTTAGGGAATGTCATTTCATGATAGATTGACTCAAAAATATCAAAATCTTGGCTGGGCGCAGTGGCTCAAACCTGTCATCCTAGCACTCTGAAAGGTCAAGGTGGGTGGATTGCTTGAGCTCAGGGGTTGGAGACCAGCCTGAGCAAGAGTGGGACCTTGTAGCCAGGCATGGTGGCACATGCCTGTCGTCCCAGCTACTTGAGAGGCTGAGGCAGGGTGATCCCTTGAGCCCAGGAGTTTGAGGTTACTGTGAGCTGTGATGATGTCATGGCACTATACCCAAGGGTGGCAGAGTGAGACCCTATCTCTAAAAAAACAAAAAAGATTGTTAAAATCTTCATGACCTGCATTGAGTTTCAGTGGTCTCCTCAGAGCTATTGAAAAATAGATTGGGGAGAGAACTGAGCTTCACCAACAACTATGGCCAGGTACTTGGTCAATTTGATAAACAGGGAACACAGTTCCGGGACTAAGAATGTAGTCTTTGAAACCAGACAACTTGGCTTGGCGCCCATAACACAGTGGTTACGGTGCCAGCCACATACACCGAGGTTGGCAGGTTCAAACCTGGCCCGGGCCATCTAAACAATGACAACTGCAACATAACATAGCCAGGCGTTGGCTCAGTGCCTGTAGCTCAGCCGCTTGGGCACCAGCCACATACACTGAAGCTGGTGGGTTCGAATCCAGTTCCGGCATGCCAAACAATGATGACAACTACAACCAAAAAAGTAGCCAGGCGTTGTGACAGGCACCTATAGTCCCAGCTACTTGGGAAGCTGAGGCAAGAGAATCCCTTGAGCTCAAGGGTTTGAGGTAGCTATGAGCTATGACGCCATGGACACTCTACCAAGAGTGACATAGTGAGACTCTGTCTCAAAAAAAGAAATTAGACAACTCTAACATGGCCCTGTGACTTTATGCTAATTTATTAACTTATATGACCTTCAGTTTTCTTGTTTGTAAAATGGAAATTCTTTTTTTTTTTTTTTTGAGACAGAGTCTCACTTTGTTGCCCTCAGTAGTGTGCTGTGGCGTGATAGTTCACAGCATCCTCCAACTCTTGGACTTAAGTGATTCTCTTGCCTCAGCAAGAGCTGAGTAGCAAGTAGCTGG